TTGGCAGGATTCTTTTTTTCACAGGTGAGGAAACTTAGGGACAGGGAGGTTGGGCACTTACCCAAGACCACACAGCCGGTGAAACCTGGTCCATCCAATGCTAAAGCCTACACAGGGTTGTGGTAAGGATTAGAGTTGGTATACATAAAATTTCCGGAATATAGTAGGCAGTCAAAAGATGACAGAGTTTTCAAAATTACTTTTGCATAGTCTTCATAAACATAATTTCTGATAGATGCATATTATTTGAAAAATCGTATCTTTTAAAGTATGTTTCTAAAATATTATTCCATCATAAGTATGAAAAGCATTTAGAATTCCATGGGAACAAGTAAAACCTTTATTTTAAGAAACAGTTGTAAGTAAAAGAAATTTTGAAAAGATATACACTGACATGTGAAGAGTTTCTATGGGTAATGGAATTACTAGTTTGGTTTGTAAAAACATCTTTGTCTCTACATTCCAGTTTTCTAGAAAGAATTTTTTTTTTTTTTACTGTCCGGTCAGAAAAATATTCATAATGACTACTGTGTTTTCTAAAGAGCTATGAATGGGAGGAGATCAGGCAGTATCTACATTTTTTTGTGTGTGACCTAGAAAGAACAGGAAGTTGATAGGAAGGATAATGAAGGGGAGGGTGGCTCTCCAGGTGCAGCAAAGGGGAGTAGGGGAGTGAGTGAGTGGGAGAGGGAGGTCTGTGAGAAGGCAGCAAGGAAGATGAGGTTTGTCTTGGGGGGTATTAATCACGTTTTATTTTTAGTAGTTTATAAATCAAATAACTAATTTATTTTTAGCGGGATGCCATTTCTCTATGTGTTAATCCTCTGAACAATAATTTTTATGAAGTGTAGAATATGTGTTTGTAAACTGTGTATGCTTTTTAAAACTTCTTTTGCTTTTGCCTTTCTCTTCATAAAGATGCATAACTTTCAAATCAGACAGAAATGTTATTTATCGTGAAAACAAAAGCAGAAAATTTGTTTCCCAATGCAGGAGGCTCATACATGAGAGGTGGCCCAGGGCACCAACTCTACCACAGAGGCCACCCTGCAGGAGCATGTGACAGGAACACACATGTCATTCATCTTCCAGGGCTTCCCACTCTGCAGTGTTCTGTCTTTCCTGTGGCCTGTGGCTGCTGTTTTCTCTGTCATGCTCTTGGTCCACTTCACCTCACTTCCCTTCTTGATTGGCCATCATTACAGAAGTGCATTACCCATCACATCGAAGATGGAAACTTGTTCACCTTGTAACATGTAGGATATTGGGATGTCCCTTATGATCAATGGCATATTTTAGGGGATAATGATTAAATGTGGAAGATACTTATCAATTTTTCCAAAAAAAACCTGGTCATTTTACAGCAGAGAAACCCAGCAGACACCACCTTAACCAGGTGATTAAGGTTAACATAGTGAATGATAAGATATATCAACATCACAGACCTTCAGATATGATGCACATCATCTCTGTGGTTTTCTTGCCCAAAACACATGATCTCAGTCTAATCATGAGAAAACATTTGACAAACCCAAGGTGAGAGGCATTTAAAGAATAACTGACCAGTACTTATCCAGAGTGCCATGGTCATTGAAGACAAGGAAAGACTGAGAAACTGTCACAGATTGGAAGGGACTAAGGAGATATGAGGAATAAATGTCATGTGGGATCCTGGATTGGATCCTGGGACAGAAAAAGGACATTAGGGAGAAAACTGGTGTCCTTTCAATAAGGTCTCTAGTTAAGAGCCTTGTATCAGTGATAATTTCCTGGTTTTGATAACTGTGCTATGTATGGTATGTAAGTTGTTGACATTAGGAGAATCCGGGTAAAAAGTATACAGGAACTCCCTGTACTATCTTTGTAACTTTTCTGTAAGTCTGCAATTACTTCAAAATAAAAAGTTTAAAAGCCTCATTAAAAGGTGAGGCTGAGCTTTCAATATATAGTTGTGTGAGTACTAATTGTAATTTCATTTTTCTTTCAAAAGAGGTTTTTGTAATGTCCAAAATAGCATTAACTTTTACCAGTCATGCTTAAAAGGATACTTCCCTTTTAAGGTCAATATTAAGGAAGATAGAGAGCCTCAAATAAAATGTTATTTTTCTTGATGCTCAGGATGACAGGGGCTACCTAGGTGTCTTTATAGTGCAGGCAGACCTCTCTGATGGAGCTTACAAATGGTGCTAAACCTTGCATAATCTTGTGACCCTTGGGATTATGTTCTAGGAGTCTACCTTCTGGTAAACTTTCCCTTAGCAAACAGGGATGAGTAAATATTCTGTCCAAAACTGGCAAATTTTAAACTAGTGAAAATTGCTGTGACTAGTGGTGCTAGCACAGAATATACTGGTAACTTGGGCCAAATTTAACCTACAAGGATTAATTCCCACTCATATGCTTATGCAACAGGTTTCCCTTGTCAAAATATTATTATTATTGTGATGATATGTGATGTCTGAAGACATAGTATGTGATTGTTTTATGTTCATTCTTCACCCAGTTTCCATTTTTTAAGAATGTGTATGGGTTGGCATGACTGGCTATTCTCTGACTGTGCCTGCTGCTATGGCCTTTACCAGGAAATTCTTGCTACAAAAGTACCCAAAGTGGTCAGTGAGGTGGGCAGATGTGATCGGTGTTCATCTGTCAATGAAATAATGACAACATTTATATCCTTCCTGGATAACAGGTGGCTGATATCACATTACTTCAAGTATGTAAGAGAAGGTTCAAGACATCATGATATTGCTAAAGTAGAATGATTTGTTTATGAAAACAATCACAAACATTGATTTAGTTTTTAAAATGATGACCCTTTGTTAAATCCAAGGAGCATTCATTAAAAATACCAACCTAATGACAAACTGTAATATCAAGAAATTAGCATAGAATGGATTAAGTAGTATTTTGAAAAGAACTTTTGAAACAAATTGTGCCAAGCAGACAAGGCAATTGAGTCAAAAACAGCTGCATGCCAACACAACAGAAGACTCTTCTATATAGCTGGAAATTTATCTATGGGCTGCACTCTCTAGATTCCTCTCTGAATACAGTGCAGCCTTCATCACGGAACAGTCAACATTCATGGAGTGATGTTCACAGTACTTCAGCACAATATACAATCAGCCATCCAGCTTGTCCTTATTTTCATAACATTCCCCTATTATGAGGTTAGTGTAGGACATTATATCTATTATACCTATTAGGAAGGCAAAGAATCATCATCTGATAGAGTATCTAGTGCTAAAAGAATCCTTACAAACATTTTTAAAAAACCAAAAAACAAAAGCTGCAGCCCCAAACTCATCATGTGATTGTTTCAGTTTTTTAACCACTCATGAAAGAAGAAACAGTACACAGAGGAATTTCAATGGTGTTTCAATTATACAAACTCAAGAGGGGTAGCAAATGCTGCAGTAACCACTGAGGTATGTTATTTGTGTATTATAGGTATGATAGCAGTACAATCCCCTTAGGTCAATTACCCTCAACTTAATGTAGCTTTCATGTATATCATGGATAAGAAATAATATAAAAGAGAACTACAAAGCCTTCATGCAAACATGGAACTCTGAAGAATGTGCTATCTAAATGGCAAGTTAAATGATTGTTTAAAAGGCTTTGTATATTTGAAATATTAAGGTTTTCATTAAAATTTGAGAATGTAAGGATTATGTAAATCATTTTTATCCTGTGTGACTGGTCATCGATATATTAACATTCTGCAAAAATTATTTTAAAAACACTGGATACAGAGAGTAAACAGCTCGTTTGAATAATTAAGTGGTTTATTAATATTCATTGGCCATTATCTAGTTTGTCTCTGAATGAAATGTTTCCCAAGCTTTAAAGTGTTAGTGCAATATGCATTTTGTAAACAAGCACCTTTCATGTTATCTTCTTCGAAAGGTTTAGTTTATGGCACTCATTTGCCTTTAAATGGGAGCGCTGACCTGAAGTGTATCAATGGTTAAAAAGATCACACATCTCCTTCCACATTCTATGATGCCTGGAAAGATAGAATTTACAAAGCCTGCAAGGAACTCTACATCACAGAGTAAATCATAAAAACAGTGATACGTATCTTTAAGAACTAGTATCACACTCATGGCAACTGGATTTGGGCATGTCCATTTGGAATATGAGTTTGTAGTTTTAAATATTAAACCCTAACTAAATAGAACCTTTTTGAAGAACTCCTACAACAAACATTTAGTTAATAGGAAAAAGATAACCCTTCACTTAAGTCACCTGTTTTTTTTTTTTTGAGACAGGGTCTCTCTCTGTCCCTCAGGCTAGAGTGCAGTGGCATCATCATATCTCACTGCAACCTCAAACTCCTGCCTCAGCCTCCCAAGTAGCTGGACTTTGGGTGCATGCCACCATGCCCAGCTAATTTTTAAAAGTTTTTTATAGAGACAGGAGTCTTGCTATGTTGCTCAGGCTGGTCTCGAACTACTGGCCTCAAGCAATCCTCCCACCTCGGCCTCCCCAAGTGTTAGGATTATAGGCTTGAGCCACTGCGCCCAGCCTCAGTTCACTTTTATAGTGATGCGTGGTTTTTCATTTGTGTTATCTCACTGGAATCTCCACAGTAATCATGGAAGTTAAGTAGAGAAGTTCCATCTTAAGTTCCATCTATTAGAGATGAAGTAATTCAAGGTTTGTAAGATGCCATCTGAGGTCTGATACAGTAGTGAGGCTGGGACTGTACCCCAGATCTCCTGAAACAACATATGCAAAGTGCCTAGTGCAGTTCCTGACCCTCTTTGTCGACTAGATGAAAGATACTTCCTTTTTTCCCCTGACTAGCTCAGTGCTCTTTTCCATTTCAAGGCACTGCCCAGCCCTGTAGCAGCAGATTTAAATAATACACACACAAAAAATTGTTGATGAAATTTGAATGATACAGAAATGAAGAAAACAAAATAAGCCTGTTAGTCATGATATCTGCTGCAAATAAAAGCAATTTAGAGATTTTCAATGCTAGGAATTACCTTTATCTTTACAATAATAAGTTTCCATTCTTGAACTGGAATGGTCTGCAACAAAAAACTAGTGACCACAAAATAAGTAACAGTAACTCCTTAAGTGGTACAAATTGAGCATCCCTAATCTGAACATCCGAAATCTGAAATACTTCAAAATCCAAAATTTTTTGAGTGCCAACATGATGTCACATGGGTGGCTGGGATAGTGACAACTTGCTTTCTGATGGTTCAATGTACACAACTTTGTTTCATGCACAAAATTATTAAAAATATTGTATAAAATTACCTTTAGGCTATGTGTAAAAAGTGTATATAAAACAAATGAATGTCATGCATAAACTGGGGTCCCATCCATTATGTATATACAAATATTCCAAAATCCTAAAAAATTCAAAATCCAAAACACTTTCGGTCTCAAGTATTTCAGATAAGGGATACTCAACCTGTATATCACTCGAGAAAATGTTTCCTGAGGAAACTATCCCATCAAGGAATACATCTCTATTAGCCAATGCAGCCATAAATAAAAATGTTAATGAGGTGAAATTGGTCATGATGAGGGTAAAACAATTATCAAGAAATTGAAAAGCTTAATTCATTTTGACACATTTTGAAAAAGAATCTCAAATGCATCATAGCAAATCTTGCTAATTAAATCAGAAATCCATTATCATTTTTTGCTTCTATGATTTAATTTGTACATCTTTATTTTTAATTTAAGGATAACTATGAATAAAACATAAATATCACTGTATTTTCTTGTTCTGCAATCATATATGTCCTATTCTACATAATACCTCATCTGCCCTCATACTTCGTTTACACTCTAGTACATAATATTCAGGTTTGATGACCTTGACAACAGGACTTTCCTTATGAAATGTACTCATAAATCTGAAATTGGTCAATCAGCTATTTAGGAAAAAAATTAAGTTAACCTAGTTTTGTAGCAATATGTTTAAGTTAAAGGTTCAAGATATACTCTAAGAAGGTTCAAAATGCCATCATCTTCCCCCTGGATGGTGAAATTTTCACCTTATACTCTCTCAATCTGTCTTGATTTATCCTCTAAAAGCTGACTCATCCCTTCCAAGTGCCTTTTGATAGTGTGGATAATAAGCTATAATTCAGTACAGGGCTCCTCTGGGTTATATGAGGATTATGATCACTGTAGTTAAAATCTAAATCACATACAAAAAAAAGTAAACCATAGCAAAGCCTGCAAAATCCCCCATTCCTAGAAAAATTCCTGAACTTTTATTTTTTAAGTGTTATCTGTGTTGATAAGTGGGCTTTGGTGGAGTGAGCTTTAGACTTGACTTACTTCTACAAACACAAAGTCTTAAGAGATTCTGTCTTTAAGACATCCTGTTTTGAGGACATTCTGTCTTAAGAAAAACAAGCAAAATTTACCGCTTTCATGCTATCATTAATTTTACTCATTTCAAAGCACATCATATTTCCAAAAACACAGAAATCAACAAATTTAAATTATGTGCATTCGGATAGCACTCACCTTTAGAGAATCAAAACAGGCCACCACTCGACCATTTTCCACATGGCAAACTCTTGGTGGATGGGCAAACTTGCAATCTGCATCAGCTCGAGAGCAAGTTCCTCTCTGAAATTCTCTACAGACTTCTAAAGTCAGCCACTTGGTATCGCGAATCAGGGCAACATTGACAGCCGTCATATTGAAAGCAAAATTAAAATCAAGTACACCCTCTTTAGAACAATATTACTGCCGATTGCTAAAGGCTTAAAAATGAATTCAAGCTAAATGTGAAGAGATAACAGCTTGCTTTGGTGAAATGTCTATTTGTTAGTATTTAGGTCTTCATTTAAGTCAAATCTGGTCTAGTTGAGCAAAAAGCCAATCATAAAATAAAAATTGTTATCGGAATAACTAAAAATCAGATTAGAGACCAACTCCTAAGAAGGCAACTGTAAAGGTTAAAATATTGAATGTTTTATTTTGTTCCTTTGCCGAATTTACTTCCAATAACTGGCAGACTTTCAAAAGAACTCTGTGCTCTCCAGTTGATGTTTTCAATTATTTTTGCAAAAAGCATATGCTGCTGGCTGCCCTTCAATTTGTGGAATGGTCTCAGATCGGGGGCCGGCGGGGGGAGAAAGGTTTTTCTCCCTATTTCTTAGCTTTAAAAAATAAGATTGGGAAGGATATTAGAACCCCAAAAAATGTTTTGATACAAAATCAAGGGGAGGGAAAATGACTAAGAAAACTGAGAATCACAGAAAAAAAGAAACGGACAAATTGCTGACAGTGAACTACAAGCACACCAGGTCTCGGGGGGCGGGGAGAGGTTTGGGAACGGTATGGCAGGGAGAGAGGTTTATAAAGAGACAGCTCTAGAGTAGAATCCAAGCAGCAGAGTTTTCAGAAAAGGCACTTTTCAGAACCTGCAAGAAAAAAATAAATAACATTAGCTAAAATAATACAATGCTTCCGTTTCAAACTCTAGATTTGGAAAAGAAATAACCATATCCTATTTAAAACAGGAAGCATCTAGATACTGACAGTGCAACATAGTACAGTCAGCTATTGTCAATAAGAAGGGCATTTCCCAGCGTAAAACTGTGCACAGTTAAAAGAAGCAACTGCTTAGATTTACTGTTGTAGTACAAGACTGGGCAACAACCTCATATGAGGTAGGGTGGAGGATGGAAATGTGAAATGTGCTTCAGATAAAGAAAAAAATCCTTTGAAAAAATATTGGATATTTTCTGCGTAGGCTCTCTTAGTCTCTATGAAGGGAAAATGGAACAAGTCAGAAGGTTTCAGCATATATAAATAAATGAGACGGAAAGCATTGTTCAGTGGTACATTAAATACCATACAGCTTTAAGGTTTGCAGTTTAACTCAGTGTCAACCAGTAACAGTTTTGAGCAACTCAGTTGAAAAGATACATGAAAGGTTAATTTACTGGCATTATGCCATGAACACACAAAAAACAAACAAAAAATACACTAAAGCATAAGTAAGCTCTGAGAATTAGAAAAATCAGCTAATTGTTAACTTCAACGAAAGGTAGAATTAAAGTTCTTGAAAACATCTCACTTAAATTTCTGGACAATGTTCTCAACTTTACAAAATCTGAATTTTCTATTTGTCTTTTCCATATTCAAAATGAAATTCAATATCACCTGATTTTTCAGATACAATTGAGAAATCAAGTACCTAGAAAATTCAGGCAAGCTTATCTATTCAAGAACAAAACATGTTGTTCTCTGAGTCATTCTTTGTGAAAGTCTTTCTAACATGTATGTAGCTTTGCCTTCTTAAAAAATATTGAACAAAACTTGGCCTGATTAAAGACTTGGGGTCATTAATGTATTGGGAAGTATTATAGCTGTCTTCCTTCAGTTGCAGACTGTTCATTGTCACTTCTCTTACTGCTACAATATCTGCCACGTGAATTTTCCAGTTCGCTTCTGGAAAACCTAATAGCCAATCATGAATGCTGAATAAAAGTCAGTTACTGAATGAGGGGACTCAGGGACAAGATGCGGGGCTTTCCTGCAGAAGTTCTATAACTGCTCTTACTGCTTTGGGGCCCTTTCACATTAAGCTATATGCAGGACCAAGTTCTACAGGGTTAAGGTTGTTAGGCAAATGATCTCTAGAAAAAAAAAATTTAAATAGCCTCACGGGGGAAATGCAAATCAAAACCACAATCTGATGACTACTTCACACCCACCAGGATAAGTATAATAGACCAAAAAACTGGAGAAATTGGGAGCCTCATACATTGTGGGTAGGAATGTAAAATAGTGCAACTGTGGCAAACAGTCTGACAGTTCCTCAAAATCTTAAAGTCACCATATAACCTAATACCTCCATGTCTCAGTATGTACCTGAAATAATTGAAAACAGGTGTTTAAACAAATCCTTGTACGGGAATGTTCACGGCAGCACTATTCACAATAGCCAAAAGGTGGAAACAATCCAAGTGTCCATTAGCAGATGAGTGGATAAAGAAAATGTGGTATATCCACACAATGGAATATTGCTTCACCAGTGAAAGGAATGGAGTACTGATCCATGCTACAGCATGATGGACCTTGAAAACATTATGCTAAGTGAAAGAAGCCAGACACAAAATGCCACATAGTGTATGATTTCACTTATATGAAATATCCAGAATAGCCATATCCACAGAGACAGAAAGTAGACTAGTGGTTGCCAGGGGCTAGGAGGAGGGGAAAATGGGGAATGACTGCTTAATGGGTATGGGGTCTCCTTTGGGGGTGATTAAAACGTTCTGGAATTTGGTTGAACAATATTTTAATATACCATAACCCAGTCACTGAATTGTACACTTTAAATGGATGAATTGGACAGTATGTGAATTACATTTTAGTAAAGCTGTTAGAATTTTTTAAAAAGTCTAAAGAGATATGACAACCGAAAAAAAAAGCCTGATGAGTAATGAGATTAGCTATCCCAAGCTTTCTGAAATTCTCCTTAAACACAGATTCTTCTCAGTAGTGTTACTAAGTCGAATTTCAAGAGTAAATTAGTTCCCATACTGTAACTGAATTATTGTATTATGGAAATACTCTGAAAGAATATGTTCTGGAAGTTTGTAAATTTATATTCAAAGATATATTCCAATTTACCTACAACTAAATTATATAGGCTGCCTGAACACATCTGAAAGAAAGATAACAAAAAAGGAATACACACACACACACACACACACACACATA